GTGCCCATGAGCAGCGAGTTCACCCCCGAGTCAGAGAGGCAGCGAATCCAGCACTTGGTGAGTGACTCCTTCCACACATCAGACAATCCAGCTGCAAGCATCCCACTGGGCCAGAGAGGGCTTGTGGCAAGAGGACCTCCAGCATTCCTTGAAGGTCACTGTGTGGCCATAATGTCAGCTGGAACTAGCCAGGGACGGCTGGGGTAGAAATGCAGCCAACAGTCTGGGAGATGTTCATGTCCTCATTGGAACGTGCTTTCCCAGTTCTGGTCTCCATTCTGCTGCTGGGAGTGCCAGTCCTGAGGCAGAAGCAGAACCTATCCATGCTCACCCCTCCATTCCCTCCTCCAGGCTTTCCTTTTCCCCAAGCTCCTGGATGGTGAATTCACCCGCTTTGAGTTTCCACGGAGGCTGAAGGGAGATGATGTGGGCCACAAAGTCCTGTACCGGGATTACTTCATGGAGGGCTGGTGAGTCCCTTCTGCCCGAGGGCAAGGCTGCAGCACAGGGCAGCTTTACCTGCTCACACCCATGGGGAAGTGAAGGGAGAGGGGGCACATCCTGCTAGTGAGAGCAGCAGCAGGATGGTAGGGAAGGATGCTGTGAGCAGCTCTCTCCAAAGGACCATGGCCCTGGCAGGGTGGTTAGAAAACAGTCAGGATGGTCCTTCTGGCATCCACGGGCATGGGGCTGGTGCAAGCAGTCCCAAGCTGGTGCAGGTACAAGCTGGGAAGGAAGGGGAGAGTGAGGATCACCTTGCCCCACCCTCAGTTCTGTGCATGGGGACACCACAAGGGTCAGTCAGAGTCAAAATGCTCTGGCTGGGTTGTGCTATCAAGTCAGACAAATCCCAAATCAACAGTGAATTCTCTGTTCCAGGGGGTACAAGACGGTGGAGAAAGCTGACCTCAAGTATCCTCTTGTCCATGGTCACGGGAAGCAGGTAGCTTAAAGCTTTACACATTGGGAAGGCACAGGCAAATCTTCTGTGGGTCCTCAGTGTCCCTGTCTCTCATGTCACAGAGGAAGGGGAGAGTAAGGATCACCTTGCCCCACCCTCAGTGAGCTGTCTGTGCATGGGGACACCACAAGGGTCAGTCAGAGTCAAAATGCTCTGGCTGGGTTGTACTATCAAGTCAGACAAATTCCAAATCAACAGTGAATTCTCTGTTCCAGGGGGTACAAGACGGTGGAGAAAGCTGACCTCAAGTATCCTCTTGTCCATGGTCACGGGAAGCAGGTAGCTTAAAGCTTTACACATTGGGAAGGCACAGGCAAATCTTCTGTGGGTCCTCAGTGTCCCTGTCTCTCATGTCACACTCTGGGGCACTAGAGCAGACCTGGAGCTCTGGGGTTCTCCAGCACAGCACAGTCCCACAGCCTGGATACAGCAGCTTCCTTTGCTGCCTGGCTGGTGTAACCCAGAGCCCTCTGGAGCTCCCTCCTCCAGAGTACAGCAGAGCAGACAGCAGCCCCGAGGGCTTGCACACAAAAACTCAATTCAGATGAGAACCTGACCAGCTCCCACTTGGGACTGTCTCCTTTAGCTCTAGTGCCTTTCCCACAAATGTCCTCCTAGAGGAAAGGCTGAGAATGAGCCTGGAGAGGGAAGGAGGAGGCAGGGAGAAGCAGTGACTGCACCCATGCAGCATCTGCCTGCTGGGGGTGAGCAGAAAGTCCCATCACCTCTCCAGCACTACAGCCCATGTGCCACCTCCTTTACGGAGTCAGTGCAGAACCTCCTTTGCCAGAACAAAGAGACACCCCCAAACCAACCCAGCTGTCTTTCTTGCCACCTCAAACCAAGAACAGATGCCACCATGGGCCTCCTGAGGTCTGCAGCATTACCCAGAACACATGTACTAACTCCAGAGCACACCATGGGCCACATGGAGCCATTCACAGTCAGGCTGCTTCCACACCTCCATCAGGCTGTTCCTTCTGATCATTCCTCCATCTCCAAAGTCTCCAGAGGCTGTTCTGGGTGATGCTTGGAGAAAGGTCCTACAGCAACACATAGATCAGTCAGGACAAGCCACACGTCAGCCCTGAAAGGCCCCACAGCCCAGTGTTTCAATCCTGTTTTGCTTTGTTTGGGGCCAGGCTCGCCTGCTGGGCACTCTGGCTGTCTCTCGAGGCCTGGGGGATCATCAACTCAAGGTCATTGACACCAACATTGAAGTCAAACCCTTCCTCTCCTGCATTCCTAAGGTCAGTCACAGCACATGGGAATTGTAGGGTGGAATTAAACAAGCGACTCCTCTGAAGGATGCACCTTTAAAATACTTGGCAGGTCTTAGCATTTTCCTGGTCCCAGTGTGTCATGTCTCAGGGGAAGTCTTGTATCCCTGACCCCTCTGTTACATTGAAGGAATTGTCACAGATTTACTCCTCTGCCTTCCAGGTGAATGTATTTGACTTTGCTGTGCATGACATTAAGGAAGATGATGTCCTCATCATGGCAACTGACGGCCTTTGGGATGTTCTGTGCAACGAGGAAGTGGCCCATGTGGTCAGGAATTTCCTTGCAGAAAACAGGACAGATCCTCAAAGGTAATACCAGCTTTGCCTTTGTTTTCCCTTCCAAAGAACCTGGTCAGACCTAAAGCAGGCTGAGATCCCACTGCTTCCAGGTCAGCTCTGGCATGACCACTCTTTTCTGTGACTTTGGAAACTGCCTTCTAATCTGTTCCCATCCTAAAGTAACAATTACAAAACTGATGTCCTAAAAAACCTTATTTTGGTAACATAAAGCCACATCTCAATGTTGTACATAAGAATAGTTGCTGTATTAGCCCTTGCATTTTTCTACCCACAGGTTTTCAGAACTGGCCAAGTGCTTGGTATTAAAAAACCTTATTTTGATAACATAAAGCCACATCTCAACGTTGTACATAAGAATAGTTGCTGTATAGCCCTTGCATTTTTCTACCCACAGGTTTTCAGAACTGGCCAAGTGCTTGGTATGCAGGGCAAGGGGAAAGAAGAAAGGCCACCAGTGGATGCTGGATGACAGCCACGAGGCATCCTACGATGACATCTCTGTATTTGTCATCCCACTACACAACAGGGAAGAGGACTGACTGTCAGGATGACACACAGCATCTCTGTGTTCCCTTACTGTGATGCCATTCTGCATCGGCCTGAGACTGAGGGACTTCTGCTGCACACGTGTACGCTCTCTTCCAGCAAAACCATTTGCAGTGGAACCTGAATTGCACAGCCAGCACTTGGCACAGGGTGAACAAGATTAGCTCCTTAACAACATGCAAGAGAAGCACAGTGGGCAACAAATCACTCCCCTTTCTCATTGCTGGACCAAGGAGAACCTGCAAAGGGGGCCATGCAAACCAAAGGGCACTTTTCCTAAGATCTTTGTGGTACAGTGACACTCAAATCCATATTTCTACTGATCCCTCTCCCTTTTTAATATTGAACAATAAGGATCAATTGAGATCCAGCCAGTCTGAAGAGCTGGCTTTTAATCAGACTTGAACCAAGCCGAACTGGATGCATAAGCTAAAGCATCTCTCGTATCCATTTGCTGTAACGTGAGATGTGCTGAAAACCTGGGAGCTGCTGCCAAGACAGCACTGGGCACGGCCGTGCCTGTGGCATGGGAATGCTGGAGCAGTAGCCCAGAGCTCTTGAGACAGTTGCCATTTGTAGGCAGCACCACAGACCCAGAGGATGTAGCCAGGTGAAGCTTCACCCTGGTGTACAGAAGCCTCCTGTGCAAAGATATGTGCCTTACTCTTATTTAAGAACACTGAAGTGTGTTAGTAACACAGTGTACAGATTTCTAACAAATCTTAATCCATACTTGCTGACACTTTCTCTATTCAGGTAATTTCTGATAGCAAAGCAGGTTTTGTAGCAGCAGCACTGATGAGAACCAAGGTGTTCAGTGCATCAGCTGATTCAGTAGAAGAGCTCCAAGTAAAATAAAACCGGTTTGTTGCAATTTGTCTGCAGTGCTGAATTTCAAGCACTTATTCCAGCAGAAACACAGTGCAGCAGACATGCCAGAGTTGTCTTAAACTCTGAGGATCTGCTTCCCAGCCTGTTCATTAGCCAGGCAAATTCAGGTCTGGACAAGCTTCCCATCTCCCCAAGTCCCCACTTTGGTTTTTATTATTACACAGGTTCCAGGATTCCCTAGAGAAGCAGCCAAACCCCAGTGTGCATTTAAATTCCACAAGGATTAAAGTCCAAATAAAAGTACTTTGTTTTTTTCCCATGCATCTTACTGTGGTGTTATTCCTGTTGGGGTTTTACATAGATCTGGGCTGGAGGAAAACAGCCTCAGAAAATGACTGGGGAGTTTTTGGTTTTAATTTGTCTTTGCTTGTCACCAGAAGCATCCCCTTACCAGAGCTGCTGCAAGAGCTTGGTGTTGAAAGATTATTTCCAGCAGTGGGAGGAAATTCCCCCCAGGAATGGGGCAGCATTCTCAGCTATCTGCTCATGGTTTAAGCAAGGGGTAGAATAAAAACCATTTCTCTCCAGCTTCACTTTCCCTCCATCCTCTTAAGTTTGACCTGAAAACAATGCACATGAGGATTAACCCATGGTAATGATACTGGCTGCTGTCCTCCCTTCAGCAGCTGTAACACATTTATATGCGTTAACTGTAATGACCCAAGATTCCTGTTTCTCAAATTCAGAAAGTTATTTTCTCACCTCGCTGAGAAAGAGCTCAGCTCTTCCATCCAGACCACAGGCTGCTGTGAATACCTCTTTACCTAGGGCACCATAGCTCCATAAGTAGCTGTCACAAGGCTTCCCTATCCTGATGCTTTCATAGGCCAAAAAAACCCTCTTAAAATGGGCAATTTATGGAGGGGTAACTTCAAAGAACCACAATTTCCACTACAGAATTTCTGACTCTCCAAAACAAAGGGAGATATTAAAAAATGGATGAGTTTAACATTCCCCCTCTAAGAAACCAGCAAGTTGTATCACACTGGACAAACGCAGAATTTACAGCACTCAAGTGGTCTCTCTACAAAATATTTATTGGTCACAGCCACAACATTGAATTCTCCACATAGGCAGTATTTTGTGACAAAGCATAATTTGACTTTACGTATTTACACTCACTGGCAGATACCACCGAGGAGTCCAACTCCCTACAGCAGCTCACGACCAGAGACCAGTTTCTGAAAGGCTCACCAGGTTCCTGCCCCTGACCCAAAACCAAGGTGAAGTCTCTTAAAGTGCTAAAATAGCCAAGAGGCATTGGAAAAAGATACCCTGCTGCTTCCAAATTAGTCACTCAATCGCTCCTGCACCCTCCAAAGCACAAAGGGACTGGGGCACAAATCCAGGACCTGTGAGCTTCAATAAAATAATAAAAATCTTTCAAGACTGACTTGGAGAATGGCACCTGAAATCTTCTACAGCCCAGGCAGATGCGCTCAGCCACCACACTGCTTACTCAAGAGGTGGGCTCTTGAGTCTCATTTCCCCCTTGTTCAGAAGAAAGGTCTTTACATCCCAAAGAACATGGGGATGATTTACATGTCAGATTTGGAGGGGGGATGCTGTTTGCTGCTTGGCCCCTCTGTCAGACCTGGGAAGGCTGTTTTTCATCAGATCTGTTTCTCAATAGCTGGCAGCCCTAAAGAACACAGGAATTGCAGCCCTGGGACTCCTACAGAAGCACGTAGAAGCTGAAAGCTAAAAGCTTTATTCACCGTTCCTGTCCAAATATCTGAAACACACAATCCTCAAGTTCCCTGACAACACTTGGCACATTCCCCTCTTTTAAAGCCAGATGGAAAGCATTCCATGCTACATCAACAGAGATGTCTCTGCCTCTGTGGGTGGCAGTGGGCCCTGGGAAGGCACTCAGCTGCCACCCTGAACGGAGAACTAGTGCATGAGCCTGAACATCCCTCTTCACTCCAGAAAACCACTGATGTGCTTGTGTGTGTATCCTCCTAAACCATTCCTCTGGTTCCCTTTTCCTTCAACATTCCATGCCACAACACACCATGTTTTACAACACTGCAAAGAGAAGAGAGCTGAACAACAACCTCTAGACAAGCGCTCAAAACCACATTAAGAGAGAGCTTTTATAGAATAAAAGACTTCCAAATGCTTCCCTGTCAAAAGTAACAAGGAATATGGCCGGAGGCTATCTGTTCACTTCCTCAGGCAAAAGACTCGAAAAACCTCAAAGAGAATTTACAACTGGACGCTGAAGTTGGACTGTTAAAACACACTACAAACCCCAAATATCTGTATTTTACAAAGCACTGCAAATACCAATGAAGGTAAAATAGCACCAAACAGCCTGAAATGCAACACTGCTGAGTTAAAGTGACTGAGGCCCAAGAAAACTACCTCCTTTTGCACAGGGCAGCATTATTTATAGGCGATGGTGGGACATCACAGAAGAGGGGTGGCATGAACCCCTCATCTGCATCTCCAGCAGCAGGCCTGTGTGGCAGAGGGAAAGCATCCATCACCCTGCTGGAGGGTGGCAAACTCACATCGCAGACCTGTGGTTAGAAATGCCCCGTGTGGCAGCAGCAGCAGAGCCACAACCACAGCACAGATCGAGCACCACGGTGTGAGCCTGCCCCGTGTGGGCAGTGCTCCTGCACTGCCACAGGCGAGTGCTGCAACCTGAATGGAACCAGCAGCGCAGAAATGCTCAGTGCTGCAACCTGAACGGAAGCAGCAGCGCAGAAATGCTCAGTGCCTGTCCCCAGCTCTTAGCACAGCACCTTTCCGTGGACAAGGACTGGGAGGGGACTAAAAAACAAGCAAAACAGAAAGAGCTGTTCTACAAGGCATTTACTTTTCCAGGGAATCATAATGTGAACAGTATACAGCTGAGATGAACTTTGCTGTAACAGAGGAACATCAGGAAACTGACCCAAGGAAAACGCTCCAGCATGGTTTGCCAGAATGTAGTGGCCCTGGAGAGCAGAGAGAACATGCCTGTTACTGTCTTGTCACCTTGCCAGCTTTTCATATTTATGAGCAGGGAAGCACAAGTGACTGGGCAAGGGAAAGAACAGACTTCCCAAGCACAACCCCAAGTGTGTTTGGAAAGGCAAGAATACAGTGAACACTACATTTCTGCCAGGCCTGTCCCAGCTTGCTGGTGAATGCATCCCATTGAAGCAGCATTTCAGGAAAAAAAACCTGGAACTGGGCTTGAAGACCAACCAGCCAGCTTTTCAGTGCTACAAGCCCCTGAGGCAGGAGAGCATGTCCCTCCCCATCTCTTTGCAGGGGCATTCCTTGGAACAGGGCCACAGCAAAGCAGAGTCAGCACAGTCATGCCTAAGATTTTTAAAATTCATTTCTGAAGTTTCCATCTGACAAAGGATGCATTGCTCTTTTGAAGCTATCACCAAAAACCTGCAGACCAGTGCCAAACTGTGTGATGGACTATACATGTCAGTTTTACCAACAAAGGGATACCAGTCTAAGCCTGCTGTGGGATAAATTTCATGGAGCTTATTTACAGACCAGGGGGTGGAAAACTGCATCGGTGAAAGTAAACAGCCTAGACACCTCACATTACTGGCCCACATCATATTCTTTTATATCTAAAAGTAAAAAAATATGGCCCATTCCCACTGCCCACCCACCCCATGATATTTACAAGTAAGATCAGCCAAGATGGTACATAAGGAAGATACACAGGCAGACTGTGCTCTCAGTCTCAGTGTGGTTTCTCCATCTTCTGCTGACAGACTCCTTTATTGCTCGGGACACTGGCTGGACCTCAGCAGTGCTGTCTGCACCTCCAGGATGTTGACACAGCAAACAGCAGGGCAATCTCTGACAGTGGATGAAACCTGTGCAGTTGCACACTAAATTGCCAAAAAAAAGGATGACAAGATGTATGAGGTACATTCACAGCTACCCACACTTCTGGTGCATGTTCCACTGCAAGAGAATCCAGCATCTGCCGTTGAAAACTGTCAGTGTTCACATTTGGCACAGAAGTATTTGCATCTGTGGACTGCAGTGAAACCAGAGATCCCAGACGTTAAAAACATGCACTTATGGAAAGCAACTGCAGGCTCCACATTGGAACATCAACAGCCTTGTGCATTTACAGCAGGAAAACACATAATTACAGCTTTAAAAAATGCCACCAACATTTTGTAGATAAAACAGACTTCACGGCTCTAAGAAATAACACTGTGTCAGTTCCATCTTAGGCTAAAGCCTGCTGGGCATGGACTGGCAGGTAAGAGCTTGTAGCATACTGCTTCTTGAGTGTGCCAGGAGGCCAAGAGGAGCAGTCCTCACAACGGAATGCTGTAGATAAAGGTAAGACATGGAAATACGCAGGAACAGGAACACAGTCTGGGAGATGTAGGCAATTCCAAAACTATGCTTGCAAACTTGCTTGTGCTGCTGTTAGCAGTATGGGGCCACCTGACAGCAGCTGCAGCGTAGGAATTAGTCGTCGATAGTTGGCAACCAGAAGGCCTAGAGAGGAAAGAAAACATCTTTTCACAGCAGAACTCAAATCTCTCCTACAGCACCCTGTAGGAGCTGCCACCTTCTGCAAGCACGCATGAGAAGCACTGAGACTTGTCAGATTAATCTCTGGAAGGGTCAGCACCTCATGGAGCTCAGAGGAATTTAAAGCCCATTTCCTTACCATATTGGAACATGCACTAGCGAAAGTCATGAATTTTGGATTGAACTGCAGACAGGTTATAGGACCTGTGTGTTTTCCATCTAGAACAGCCACCTTCATCCCACTTTCTCCATTCCAAACATGGATCTTCCCATCCTCTGAACCTGAAGGTAGGAGTGGAAAACAAGATATGGAAGATGCACTGGAGAGGTCAGCAAAAGAAAGGAAGAACATCTTTTTCTGTCAGAACTTTAGGAACAGGCAGGTCTCAACTTCATAACACAACCTTTAACATTCTCCAAGTGTCACGAGGGCATGTACAAAACATCACAGAGTTGAAACACCTATATCCAAACAGCAAGTTTGTATCTTTGCACTGCAGAGACTCAACTACACAACAGGGCAACACTATTCAGGCAAAGATGTTAACTACTGTCACCCAGTAAGAAAGGAGATCTGACACCTCCAGCTGTGGAGGAGAGACCCTGGCCAACCTGCACCAAGGTGCAGAGGCCAAGTGCTGGGGAAAGAGTCATTGTTCACACAAGTTCTCAGTTCAGACGCAGGTAAATGCCTCACTCAGTGGGCACAGAATCAAACCAAAGCCTTTACCATGGAAGGGAACCAGATTTCAATGCACTAAGCCAAATATCAGAAGGTCCCCTGGAAATATGGACTCGCCACATTACTATAATGGAACAAGTTTTTCACTTTAAAATTACATTTTTCAAACTCTCAGGCTGAGAAGTTTATATTTTTATAATTCAGTTCTGCTTTAGACTAATTTTAAATAGGACTCCTAATAAAAACGCAAAGCATTTTCTTCTGCTTCTGTATTTAGGTCTGCAGCCTTTCAGGAAAAAAATTAAGAAGCACAGGATGCAACTTAACCATATGTAAAAACTGAACAGGAATAAGTGATTTGGAACTTCTACTACTGTTTTAATTTGGAAGAGCACAACAGGAAGGTAAGTATATGCAATAAAGTGCTCTCCAGGGACAAACTAAACAAAAACCCCACCCTTCTTCTCTGCAATCAGGAAGTTCTCAGCCAGAACAAAAGAAAATAAGTTTTGCCAAGACCATCACTCATACAAGAAAAATGAGGATCTGGATATCAAATTACCACAAGGTTAAACATATTTGATATATCAGCCACAGAAATATAAAGAAGAAAATATAAAGTTCTAGGAAGGAGCAGCACCAGCCAGACTCATCTGACTTGCGTCCAAAGTTCCTGTTGGGCAGCAGGTGACTGAAGGGCTCATTGTGGGGTGCCCAAGGTGCAACGTCAGGCTGTACAGGAGTTTCAGGCTGATTTTCTCCACCTGCTTCCCTCAGGAGTCCATCTTGCAGAGGGCCAGGGGAATCATACACTGGGAGCCACCATACTGATGCCTACAGCTTCTATCAAGGGTTAAGAGCTTGTTCCACAGACATGGGGATTTACAGGAGCCACATGAACAAACTGCAGCTGCCCCAGAACGTCACCAGTGAGAACAGCCCTGGGGGTGTACAAATGCACCAAGCTGCAAGACCAGTCACCCAAGCACAAACATGTGCTTTGGTCATCAGGAAACAGGGGACGGCCACAACACAGCCACAAAACGCTGTGAGGCAGCACATGAGGGCGTCCTAGCCACAGGGAGAGGACCACTAACAAACTGTGTGACCAGTTTTCCCACACTACAGCAGTTTCCTGGTTTCTTAGCTGTTTTGGAACAGCATTTATATATAGGAAAAGAAGAAAAGACTTCTTGCAGGCTTTTTTACGTTTCAGTCTAGAGAACACTGAGCAATCTAACAAAACAGAACACTGCCAGTGCAAAGAAAGCTTACAGCTGCATTGTATTATTTAAATACATTCTGTTTCCCAACAGACACAGCTTTAGCCCTACATAACACGGCTAATTTCAGAGCACTGAAATTCTTGCCAAGAATTATCTTACCTATCATGATGAACTGAGAGTCTGGTGTGAATGATGCCTCCAGCGTGACAGCCTTACTATTGTTATAACCCTATGGCACAAAACAGGAGAATATGTAGTATAGAGTGTGTCCACAGCAATCTCACAACCAAAGGGCACCTGCTCCCCAAACTAACACCAGGTTTTCCAGCAAGTACCAGAGGCAGCAGGCTCACCCCAAACGTGTGCAAGACAGCTCCTTTGAAGGCGTCGATCAGCCGAATGAAGCCGCCGTTCGTGGAGATGAGGATGAGTTTCCCATCATTGCTGAACTTCAGGCCTGTCCACTCACACGTTCGGTCATATTGCATCTTAAACGTAGCAAATGGCCCCTGCAGAGAGAAAATGGGAAACATGAGCAAGACTGTTTGCTCATAATCCTGTTAACAACAATCTACTTTTAACCTTAGCACAGGAAAACAGCTTAGATTTTGTAAAAGAAAATCCTTAGCCCTAAGATACCAAAAGACAGTGTCAAGGCAAACATACCTCTCCATGTATAAGTTGCAACATATGAATCTAGTTTCCTAAACAAAAGAAGAGTGCAATAGGCTGTTTCAATCCAACAGTTTCATACTCCACCACAATCAACAGCACAAATTACATTAAGGTAGGAACAGGTTTTCAAACAAGGCTGCTAAATGAAGTTAGAGAAAGAATTTGAGGCAGTGTAATCATCGTGAGTTTTGAGAACCATGGACCTAACTATGCTCAGTGCTTATTCAGTTCAGCTGACCAAACCAGTACAGTTTCCTTTGAAATTTCCATCCTTTCTGACAGTCCTGGCTCAATCTTTGCCAGTGTTCTTCCCAATAAGCAGAAAGGAAAGAAAGGCCAAAACCACAAAACAAAGAGCCTGAACTGCAGTTTGGAGCAGGTTCAAGTGTTAGCACTTGAACATGGGTTAAGAGTGTACCTCAGGATTTGTATCTCTGTCCATGAGATGTGTGTTTACTGAGAACTCTCTGGATGCCAAGGAGGCACCTAGACAGCAAGCTCGAGTACAAAAATCCAGCCCCTCAGCACCAAGTTTAGATTACTTCTTGCAAGATAAAAGCTGTAAAAAGGCAAGTCAGGGTACATCACCTTGTCAAAAGAACGGAGATCATAAAGCTTCACCATTTCAGAATTGACTCCAGCAGCAAAAATCAACCCTTCTGGGTCAAAAGAACACACTGGCTTCCCTTGGAGATGCATTAAACCCTAGAAATAGAAATAACCAGAATTATTTTGCAAGACTGATGCTCACATTTCTACCTCCTCTCTTTGAGTGAGCAGAACAGCACACGAGGGGTGGAACAAATTAATTTCAATTGTAAATAATGAGGTTTTACAAAGGTTCAAAACTCGGCTTTCTCAACTTTAGGTCATCATGTAATTTGCTTCAGTGACAAAGTTTACACCAAAACAAATCAAAAACTCATTAAAGGTGTCAGGCACTCCAAAAGTCCCCAGAGAAGGGAGGCTCATGTGGCTGTGTTAATAACCATACCAGGCAGCACCACAAAACACTGCTGCTGGGATCAACAGCAATGCTGTACCACTTATGGCTGCACAAGAGGGAAAAAAAAAGTACTTTGAAAGCAAGGGAGTATCACTGCTGAGCTTTACATGCTTGTTTAATGAAACCTCATACCTGCTGGAAGCCAACAGACTTTACATATGTTATAGATATGTACTATAATATTGCTCTTTGCAAATATTAAAATGAATACTGTATGTATTATGTTGGAAAGTTATGCTGTATTAAGTAGTGCTAAATTATTGTGTATTAAGTTATGCTCTTTTAAGTAGTGCTGTAATAATCTCTTTTAAGTAGCATGGTAAATATAGCTATAGCATAATATTAAAATAGAAACTATGTGATGTAAGATACTTTTTGTAACTAGCTCAAGGAATGGAAAAGATAGTCAAGAAATTATTCACATTATCCTATCTGGATAGAGATAACAGCAACAGACACCAAGATCCCAAGAGAAGAATTATTGCTTCCTTATCGAGAAAGCTCAGACTTTGAGGAACCAAGAAGACTGATTTACAAGATTGGGGGGGTGGGGGTGAGGAAAGCTAAAATTAAGCAGAAACACCCCAGTTTGAAAGGAATTCATGAATCATGTATGAGATCTATGAATATGCAATAGGCTATTATTTTTAAGGGGTAATCCTTTGTTAGCAAGGTGTGCTTTGTGGCAGTGCCAGGCACCCCTGGACATCAGTAATCCTTTGGTTTTTATTGTTTCTTATTGTCCTAATTTTTATTAGTATTTTCATTACTATTAAGTAGCATGGTAAATATAGCTATAGCATAATATTAAAATAGAAACTATGTGATGTAAGATACTTTTTGTAACTAGCTCAAGGAATGGAAAAGATAGTCAAGAAATTATTCACATTATCCTATCTGGATAGAGATAACAGCAACAGACACCAAGATCCCAAGAGAAGAATTATTGCTTCCTTATCGAGAAAGCTCAGACTTTGAGGAACCAAGAAGACTGATTTACAAGATTGGGGGGGTGGGGGTGAGGAAAGCTAAAATTAAGCAGAAACACCCCAGTTTGAAAGGAATGTATGAATCATGTATGAGATCTATGAATATGCAATAGGCTATTACTTTTAAGGGGTAATCCTTTGTTAGCAAGGTGTGCTTTGTGGCAGTGCCAGGCACCCCTGGACATCAGTAATCCTTTGCTTTTTATTGTTTCTTATTGTCCTAATTTTTATTAGTATTTTCATTACTATTAAACTTCTAAAATTTTAACAAAAGTGAATGGCATTTTTCACACATATTAAAATTGACAGGTTACTACCAGTGCTTATTTGTAATGTTACCTCTTCCTTAAGTCACATAGTAAAAAACACTTGAGAAAGTTTGTTAAAAGCCAACAAAATATGTAATCTTCTGTATCCTGACTACCAGTCTGTGCATGTTAGTCAAACATTTTTATGGACTGTATGCACACAAACAAGAACACATCTTTGATTAAATCCATAACACATTTAACAAGTTTCTGCATTTTTATTTCTTTCTGCATTCCTCTTTAGGTAAATCTAGAGATTGTACTACTTCTCTTCTTTCCCTCGTAGGTCTCTGAAGGTGAGGCAGAGAGCTCAGCCAATGCTCAGGGCCCTGGTGAGTGGGCCAGCTCTGGTTTCCCGGGAACATTCCCAGGCAGTGTGGCTGCCATCTCACGGACCAACTGAAAACTACAAGTAACATTTCTTCAACCTGTTTCCCAAACTTGGCTGGACGCAGCTTCCAGTTACAAGTCCCAGTTTTACCATTCTTACAAGTTCAGGTATTAGCATAAGTCACAGAATTGCTACTGCACTTACAACCCTGTCTCATCTGCAGCAACTTGGAGATGGAGATTCATCCCAAGGGAAACCTACATGCTGGAGTTAAAGGCATATCCCCCCAAAAAAAAAGCAGAATTAAGAAAAAATTAAGAAAAGGCTTGGTTTGAAGAACAATAAAAACATTTTATAAGAAACGTAACTTTTTTCTTTCTCTTTCATTTACAGTTCCATCACCTGGAACAAGCAAGAAGCCCTCTCTCATAAGCAAAACAGTGCCAGAGAGATGGGGATATGAGAGCACAACACTCTGTACCCAGATACCAAGACAAAACAACTCAGCACCACTAAAGGTAGAAATTCTACTTCCAATCTTTCATTCCTGCCACTGCTGCCAGTTCTTGTATTTTTCTCAGCTCTTACAAGCCTGCTTCCACTAAGAAGAGTAAAGTATTCCAGAAAAATATGTAAACAAAAACAGTTTTGCTGTCTTGCTATCGAGTCAAACCTGCTCACAAACAGTTCTGATCAACAACAGAGGTGATGCAAGGAGGTGGCAGACCATATGGCTGCTGTGTTACTTCAGATCACCAGTTTCTTCATCAAATGTAATTGCATCAAGGCACCAATTTTAGACACACACTCAAACACTCAAATAACATGAGTTCTCAAAACAGGAGGGATGCCAGCTCTGAGAGAACATCCTCTGCACATGGTAGCAGCCTGATGAACAAGCTGATGACACCAGCCCTTCTCTTGTTTCATCAGCTGTGGGTGTTATTCTTGCCCTCCCCAGTGCCTCTCCAGCAGAGACACAGGTGAGAGCAAGTGCTGTGACACAATGTGAAACACACACACACACTCTGCACAGAGATGCCTGACCCAGGCTCCTTCAGGAACATGTCAACACTAAATCAGCAGCACACACTTCTGGCAGTATTTTTAGTTTGTTACAAACACTCATCCATTTTTTATTCTTCCAACTGAAAATCCAACACATTGTGCACATGAATTCTATAACGTACCTGGCAATTTGGAGAGCGGAGATCCCAAAGACGAATAGTTTTATCCAGAGATCCAGAAATAAAGGTATCATCCACTGGAGACATTGAAAGAGCAACCACTCTGAAAGAGAAACCCACATGCATCAGAGACAAACCGAAGAAGTGAATGCAGCAACACCCACCCCAACAGTTGTGAAAAAACCCATAACTGAACTAAGCAAAAACCAGCACGAACCAAGTACAATGGAACTCAAGCCCATTACCATTCTTTTTACAATTTCTCCTGCCCTGTCCCCACGCCACATCTCACCTTTTTGTGTGCCCTGGGAAATAGCGAATATATTTGTTGTCATGCAGGGAGAGGTATCGGATTGTGTCTGAAACACAAACAAACCATAAGCTTTATTATACCACCAGCCCAAGGTTATCTGAAAGAGATCACATAGTAACTTGTTCCAAGTGCAATAGTAATCTCACCACAGTGCTTTAAGTCTGGTAATTTAATTTCAAGTAAACCTATGAAAGAGAATGAAGTTAGAAACAAACATAAACTAACTCAGTTCTTAAGCAGAACTGAAAATTAGGCAACAAGAAAAGATACTTCCCACAGTCTGGAGTCATGCTACATTTTAAAAACAACTGTCATGTGATTTATGAAAGGTAATTTCAAAGGTGCTAAAATTTAACTAGCTGCAGGTTTTATTCCATTGCTCTCACAAAATGGAGAGTATCAAATTTACAGAGTTGATGCTACCACTTTGTATTGCTTTGCAGCATGACTATTGCTCTCTTTCCTACATACACAATCAGCAAACAAATCTCCAACTAAGCAGTACACAAAGGAAATGTATAAATTCTGGCACTCAGCTAAAGATAAAACCGTAACTTCGAAGCCAGGACAAGATCATTAAAAAATTGCAAATCTCTCTTCTTTTTGTTTAATCTGACAATCAACAGCTTCACACTTTCCCTGCACTAAGCTCCAAGAAGAGGACCAAGTAATCTAAAGCTTAGTGCACTTCAAGCAACCTTAACCATAAACAGAGTAGATAAGAGCACAACATTTCTCACGTGCCAATTTTATCCTGAGTATAGGTGAACATACCAAGAGTAGCCCACAAGTCTGGAAGATGCTGTTGAGACTTCCTCCCCAAAATTAAAAAAAATTCCTTCTAAGACGAAACAATTATTAAAAGACAGAAGCCACTTTTTAATCTTTATGTGCAGACTCTGTACTGCTGGAACAACCAGTCCTGCTGAGGGTCAAGGACATTTTTACTTCTGACTCAGAAGAACATGTGCCAAGAGGATGCAACATGAACTGGGCATTTTGACAGTCAGAGGGGCTACTGTGTTCTGTATGTTTTGAAAGGTTCATTCAGCAAAAGTTTCTATCTGTGAAAAAAATATCAAGTTCTCATTGTTGCCTGAGGTTGCTCATCAAGCTGAAATCAGAGGTCTAAACCACCCTCCAGTATTTGAGAAGCAAACTGAAGCTGACTGAACGAGCTGGAAATGTGGTACAGTTCTGAAAAGCTCTAAGTGACCTGAGGTGATTATCCAAAATATAAATCCCTAATACCAGTGTCACATCCCACACTGGATAGAACCAACATGCTTCAAACTTGCTATTAGGACTCATCTCTAGTTTCCTGCAAGAAGCGTCATTACCTGCTCTCCGAAGTATCCATGCAGAATTCCATCTTCCTTTGCTAAAGAGGAAGCACTGGGCAGTTGTGCTCCTCTGTGCTCCTCGCTGCTGGCAGTGCTCTGTCCCAGGCAAGGCAGTGGCCTGTACAGTTATCTCCTGTACCGGGTGGTATCATAGACCCTCAAACTGTACAAACTACTACCTCAGCCTGGAATCAGGCAACACGAATTAAGTGCAGAGGTCTTGAGGAAATCTTCACAAGTACATTGGTAGCAACAAAGCATTCAACAGAAAAAAGCTTGCAAACAAGCACCAGCATTCCTATAGAATGTTCCTGAGGTAATTTTCCCTCCCAATACCTGCAAAACAGGTTAATACAACGCACCTTGCCCGTGACCACATGCATTAGGGACTACAGAGTACCAGGACTCCTACAGAACACACTGTTGGTTTTGTTAAGGTTACAATTTGTAACAGCAACAAACATTCTCACACTGTCTCTTTTTTTTTTTCTTCTAATTAAGTGTTCACCATAATGCTACCCTGCAGCAGGAAGATTTAAGTCTTAAGGCTTACCAGTGCTTATACACAAAATCTCAGTAATCAAAATGGCATTAAAATGCTTCATTAGATTGTTAATTATTACTTATTGTAAATTAAATAACAGCCAAATAAAAATGTGACATATGGTAATAATATAATTTAAAAAATAAGTAGGTTCTGAAACAGACTAAAAAGGCATGTGCTTCCCGTGACACTTTTAAACCTTTCACACCATTAAATCCAATTCTGGTGGAGACTTCCTTGTTCCTCTAGTTTCAGGCACAGCTTGCTCTAGTTTAACCCAGCTTCCTAACTCTTAACTTCCATCTTCTCTAAATTCACAGCTTTTGCAATTCCTTTAGTAGCCCAGCACACATCACAAAGCACCAGCATCTCTACTGTTAAGTTTCATCTGTGCAAAGGAAAAACCAAACCAAAACCTCTACTACAGAAATGATGAGTCTACAAGTCCAGTGTTAAAAGCCATTTGTTAAGTGCTGCGCTAAGAGACATGGTCACTGCAAAATTCTCAGATTTTGACTGGAACAAACAAAACCAAGACTGAGCTCGGTGAATTCCTCCAGGCTTGGCTGGAGTTGGGTTGAGTTGCCTGAAGCTGCTGCCCTCCCCTCCTCTGCAGCTGAGCTGTGTGCACCAGACAGAGCTGTGGCATTCGGCCCAGCTGCTCCTTCCACCTCACTCACATAAGAAATGAAGGTGCAGAGGCCCATGACAGCACTGACACCAACACCAACTGAAGAGCACAATGAAGAACCCCAGTTCTATCCCCCCAACAATGTTTAACCCCTCAGTTACTGCAGCAGTGAACAAACATGTAAGGAAGCTCAATGGACTAGCACCAAGCTGTGCATGAGTGCTGGACATTAATTCCTTCCCCTGCCTCCGACAGAATTCTCATCACTGAAGAGCTGCTATAACTTTTTCCCCAAATCTTTAGCTCTAATTATCCAGACATGCAGTGTATGGAGATTAATATGCTCCACTCCAGTGGATCACTTACCATCTATTTTGTTGGAGCTGTACACAACAGTGTTGGCAGCATGTGTGTATCTGATGAGGTCCACTCCATACTTCTTACTGTACAGGGTCCTCTTTGGTCTATCAGGAAAAAAGCAGAAATAATTGCACCCTCTGCAACAAAAACATCTCAAAACTCACATCAACAAGGCCTGTTCCCAATGAGGCATTACACGATTGTTTCAAGAAGTCAGATGTTTTTATACAAAGAAAAGCTTTTGTATTTTATCTTCAAACAAGGATCTTGTTGTTTCTCCAAAACTATCCCCAGGCTTGAGGAGGTAATACCTGCTAAATGCATGTGTCTCCTCCAAAAATTCCCTTTCCTATGACATCTACTGCAAAAAGAAAAGGAGGAGCTACCATAATGAGCACAGCAAGGAGCACTGCCTTACTGTGCCCTTGCCCATTCAAATCTCCCCATTCATCTGCTGCTTATTTTAGATTGAGTATAATTTGTCTTTGTTCTCTGTTACTTCAAAACCTAGAACAGGGTGTCTCGTTCATGGGGTATTAACCCAAACACCCAGTCATCTATAACAGACATAGTAACATAGGGACTTTTCCAAACTACTGCAGAATTATACTTGTATCCAATCTTAGGGAAAGAAACTTAAATTTAACATTTTGCAACAGAATGAAAAATACTAGTGCAAGGAAACACAACTGATAGAACTGGATTTCTGGGGGTCTGGTAAGCAGGTAATGCACTGCAGTACCAGAAATTCAAACTGCAGAGTAAGCTTGGAAGCAGCTGGCTAATAAGGGTACCTCACAGCAGTGGTGCCTGCTTGAGCAGCGCAAGGTCTCCACCACCCTCCTTCCCCTTTCATCTCCAGCTGAGGGAGCACGAAAGTTTCAGAGCTGGGCAGTGGAGCAGCGAGGGTACTGATCAACGCCAGAAATGCCTTCTCTTCTGGAGTTATTTTTATTCCAGAGACTCATAACTCTGGTTATTACACAGGCCCACAAAATATTTTACCCACACAACCAAAGACAAACAGCATGGGAACGGAAACAAACAGCAGGAGCACTCAAAATCAATACTGCTGCCAAGACAAAAGTTTGTCAGGCTACACCTCAGTCAAGGTACTCCTATTACACTGGACTTTTTCCTTTCTTCATTAGCCTCAACCTGACACACCCAAACAAGAGCACAAGTTGGAGACTTTTCACATCAGAACAAAACCAGACATTCATTCTTGAATATCGATTCTCAAACAGCAGAAGCCATAGGGCTTTGACTTCAAACAAACTTGCTGGGGACAAGTTCCCATGAAGTGAAAGCCAATACAGCAAGTGCAGTGAGAAGCCACACACCACCTGTACCACAGACTAAATCTCAACTGATTCTTCCCCAGTAACTCCAGCAGTGTTTTAAACTGTTCTTCAGATCCAAACATGCCACACATTGAAAAAACACACCAAATTCAAATTTTGACACACTCTAACATTATGCATGATATACTTCCTCACACTGCTTTCTGAAGTTACCTCACCCATGCTGTTGACCAGTCTGGTGGGAATAAAACCCAACAACAAATCAAGAAAAAAATTCCCAATCTCAAAATATATTATAGATATTAGATTCTCCCATGACTAGTTTGGCTTTTCCTTTTCTATTACAAGTTTAAATCTCAGAAGATCTATTTAGAATAAATTAACATAGAGAGAGACAATAAAGATCAACAGACAGACAAAAGCACATTTAGTAAAGAGAAGAAAAAAGAATTCTGTGTTCTATAAAAGGTGAAGTTTTCATGTAAACTGATACAAACAGAAGTGTGTCACTGCACACAAGACATGTTGCCAGTCAACTATTTTAAACACCAACAAGAAAAAGAAGTACTTTTAAACAACAAATCACAATCAATAAAACAATTCCAAGGTCAAGGTCAATCTGTGAAGCCCACCTACAAAAAAAAAAACAATACTGACAAAGAAAAATACAAGATCTCAGGCAAATCTGCTACAAAGATGAAACAAAACACAGGCAAGGTTTGCAATATCATTCATGCCTCGGTTTGAATCACTGCTGCTGTGGGTAAAACATCACCACAACCAGGAAGGCGGGTGTGCCCAGCAAACACCACAGACCAGCAGCAGTCCAGATCTGTCACTTCATTTGTTTCAGTAACTCACAACTGATACACACGAAAACACAAGCTAAACCTTTACTGGAGCATCATTCTACCACAGCAGGGTCACCAGTGTGCAGCCAGGCTGTTCCCAGCCTCAGGGATGGCTGTACATCCCAGCACACAACTGCCCTGCAAGTTCTCACAACCCTTCCTCAAGTCCACACAGACTCCAGTGAGCCTCTTAGTCATGCTGCTGAGCCAGCCCACGTGCAGGGATTTGGTGAGGCAGGATGGGTTAAAAACTTAGTAACAATTTAGTTGTTTGCACACTTTGAAATAGAAATGGAATCTCAGGACCAAAATTATTGGATGCCCATGTCAGTTGCCCATGCCCAGAACAATACATGATAAGGAGATAATCTTGTCCTGTCAGCCCTTGGCTACAGAGCATTGTTCCAACTGTCCTGACACTGCCAGAAGCTGAAGTTCACCAAGATGGGGTTGGGCACACTCTCAAAGCTGAACAACACATTTCAGTGTGGCAAAACAAACCAAACTAGGTGAGGATACTCCTAAAGTAGAACCAAGCAGCTTAATTCTACCAGCATTTTAATTCTACCAGCAGAACTGCTCATTAACAGAGGACACACACCAGATTTTCCCACTTTTACACAGGGAAAGGCATTAATTTTCAGGCCATTTAATGAAGTAGGATATCCTGCACTGAACCCCAGTAAGCAGGACATTTCATTTCCTCCTGGCCATTATATCCATGCAGATGAGAGTTACAGGCTCTTGAAATTGTGATTCATAAGGAAAAATAAACCAACTACAAGCCTGAAACTGCCATAACAATGATCACTCAGAGATCTGAAATATCATCTTCACACGAATTTCAAGTGACAAAGTAATTCAAAATAAAACTTTCCAGGTTAGAGAACAAGTGAGTCCTGCATCCTTAGCTACCCTTAAAAATGACAGCTACACTTTTAAGCCAGTTGATAGTGCATGAGAAGCTTTCAAATAATTTTTAAATTTTATAACCACCAGAGAACTGCATCCTGACACAGAAGTTACCTTGAAACTACTCTCATTGCCATGCAGCACTGCAGTAGAGGACCACTGATCTACATTTAACTTAATTAAAGCAAACCCTCTGACTATAAAGCACATCAGGATTAGATGGAGACAGGAATGGAAGGGCCAAATGCCTCCCAACCCATCAAACTATTCTTTCCAAGTTTGAAAGGGGAAAGGCAATCAATACCATCTGCATTAACATCACTCAGCCCTGCTACTACTGTATGTAATTAAGATCTGGGATACGATCCATGGCACAATCCATATGTATAGAGTTACCTGTTCTTACATAAATCAGAATTAAATATTTTCATGTCAGAGTTCATTCTAGCAGACGGGGAACACCAACAACTTACAATGTGTAAAGCAATCAAACTACACAGAAGTCTAAAATAACAGAATAGGTGTGCCACCAAATAAAGAGAATATGTGGGAGGCAATCTTTCCTCCCAGCAAATATGATGTCTTGGTCTGCTTGGAAAAGCAGGAGGGTTAGGAATACCTAGTTTACTAGAAAATATATACAACACTGACATATCTCTGTCTTGACACTCCCAAGCCATTTCTTTTTCATTCCCACATTACCTGACCTTTCTATTCCCTGTCCTATAATACACACACTTGTTTTACTTTCACATTCGGTGTGGACATGATGCTTTGTAAAGTCCTGACTTTACAAAAAACCAACAACCTCAGAACTACATCTCTACACCAGTAAGCACACGTAAAACTTAAAACCTGAAGGAGTTTAAAGCAGACAAATGAATACTTGTATAGAGTGTGAGAAAGAGAAAGTACAGAGAAAGATTTTAATGGCATAATGACACCATTTGGCTCAAACTGTTCCAACTCTCATAGACTACAAACTCCCTTGGTGTAGGTTTCCATCTTCTGAACAGGAGCACCAGATCTCAGGAGCTCTGCAAATTTCTGAGAGTTTATCCAAAAATCAAGATGAGCATCATATGATCAATGGTAGAAGAAAGATAAAACTGGACAGTTAAATGAGAAACAGAAACACACCCTCAACTCATTACCCCTAGGTAACAGAAATCAATCAATACCCTGATCGATTACATATAAACAGACAGTGTTTGAAGACACAGGGAAATCACACTGTGCTTTACAGACAGGGACACAACTAGAGAAAATGATTCAAAACACAGAGGATCACGTTTGCCTGCAGCGATCCAAGACACCACTTAGGAACCGGGTTTTATGGAAAACATCATCAGGTTATTAGAGTTGTAGTGATACACGCCACACCATCTGCACCTTTTGGCTTAAAGCATTTGGCAAAGAAGTTGGACTCAAATGAGGCATTAAAAGGACACATCTGCACATTGATCGCAACAACCACTTCTCTACTAATTAGCGAGACTTGAGCCCAGAGAAGCCCGAGAAGTCAGTTCCATACCTGCAGCAACCCCGAGACCTGGAAATTTGGCCAGACGTTGAACCCTTTAGGCTTAGCAACTGTTTAACTCTCACAGAAGTGAACTTTCGCTTACACTCAGGAAATGATCACCACTGTCTCCAGCCTACCAAGATAACAAGTACACCCGCAGAGCAGGCAAACCCACGCTGCTGCCATCACTGCCGCTGGGATTCTACTCAGAAGCCTACGCTGAAAAACAACTGGAGAGAAGCTCAAGCTGAAGCTCACCGGCCAGATCTGCGGGCACAGCTTGTCCCTAAAGGCCACCGTGGGCAGTCGCCCCTCACGGCCCCGTGCCCAGCCCCCGAAGGCCGCAGCCCCCAGCCCCGCCACTCACTTGCCCTCCTGGCAGTCGTAGAGAACGATGGAGTCATCGTCGCTGCTGGAAATGACGGTCTCGCCGTTGGGGCTGAAGTCGAAGCAGTTGATCTTGTCCGAGTTCTCGCGGAAGACCTTAGCCACGCGGAAGCTCCGCAGCACGTTGTCCGTCAGCTTCATCCCGCCCGCCGGGCCGCACCGAGCGAGGGCGGCGGCGCTGAGGGCAGCCGGGCGGGGCTCCGGGCGGTGGCGGGAACGGCCGGGCCGGGCGGGGCGGGGCGCTCAGGGGCGGTGAGGGGCCGCGGGGGCCGGCGGAGGGCGGCGGGCTCGGCGCGGTCAGGCCGCGGAGAGGCGGCTCCCCCTCATTGTGTCCGCCATCTTGCGGCTCCGGCGGCGCCGCGCGGGACACCCTGGGAGCGGGGGGGGGGCCCCGCGCCTGCGCAGGGGCTGCTGGGATGGGGAGGGCGGGGTGTCCGGCGGCCATATTGAGTGTGTCAGGAAGAGCAGAAAGGCCTGCGCGCTCTAGATCCGCCGTGATTGTCAGCATCTGTCACCGTCCCCGCCGCTCCCGGGACCCGAGGTGGAAAGGGGCCGCGCAGGGCAGGGCCGGGCGGCTGTGGCGGGGCCGGGGTTCATTATCAGTTCTTTACGCACCCGCCCGTCCGTGCCTATGGAGGCGTAGGGGGCCGGGTTGAGGGCATGACGTCATCCCGTAGAACGGGCAATGGCTTCGCGCCGGCGGGAGCGCGTCAGTTCCGGTGCGGGCAGGGCGGGCGGGCTGCGGTGGTGCAGGCCGTGAGGGGCCGCGGGAAGCGCGGGACAGCCTCCCCCCCTGCGGGACAGTCCCCACTTTGTGTCGATTGAAGGCGTTTTTCGGAGTTTCCCGTGGAAATCGGAGAGAAATGCGCTGGTTGGCAGCTGGCTGAACATGAGCCCAGGCGTGCCCGGGTGGCCTGGAGGGCCAGCGGCGCCTGGCCTGTGGCCAGCAGGAGCAGGGCGCTGACTGTCTCCCTGTCCTGGGCACTGTGAGGGCACACTTTGAGTGCTGCGTCCAGTGCTGGGCCCCTCAGTTCAGGAAGGATATGGAAGTATTGGAGCAGGTCCAGAGAAGGGCGGCAGAGCTGGGGAAGGGCGTGGAGCACAAGTCCTGTCAGGAGCGGCTGCGGGTGTTCGCCCTGCAGAAAAGGAGGCTCAGGGGTGAGCGGACCGCCCTCTGGAGCTCCCCAAAGGAGGTTGTAGCCGGGCGGGGCTTGGCCAGCTCACCACTGACGACACAGCCTCAATATGTGCCGGGGAGGTTTAGGTTGGACATCAGGGAGAATTTCTTCATAGGAAGGGTGCTAAGGCGTTGGAACTGGCTGCTCGGGGAGATGTGGGGTCACTGTCCCTGGGGGTGTTCAAGGAAAGGTTGGCTGTGGCACTCAGTGAGTCTGAGTGACACGGTGGTGTTGGGTCATCGGTTGGACTTGTTATATTTGCCCCATTATCCAATCGAAAAAAACCCCAAGCAAAATTAAATGTAACAGCAATTTTAATTAAGTAGCTTAATATGTATAAAATTGAATACACTCGAAATATTGACAATATAATTTGGTTAAAATGAGGAATAATTTGGTTCTGATAATAGCGCATAAGCAAAAATAACTATGGGGGGTATGGAGTGCAGGGCTTTTGGGCCCCATCACCTCACATACAAGCTTGACAAACCAAAATTCCCTTTTTTATGCTGTATGTCATCACCATCTCCTCCCATTTTCAATACCTCACGCTTGTATCTCCACCCTCATCATCACCTTTACCACGCATGCTCCACCATTCTTTTAGGGGGTCACGCCACTCTTTGGGGGTCTTCTTTGAGGAAGGCCTCTCCTCTTCCTCGCTGTCCTTTTATTCACCTTTTGGATTACACATGTGCACCAAGCTGGTATAGTATGAGCCAATATTGTGTTCTAACATTGAAGCAATAAATCTCATATAATTAACATTTTCCTGGATGTCCAACCAAATTCTCCTCTCTTCCAACTAAATTTAGTAATAGTTATCTCTTGCTTCTTCCTGTTCTGAACATCTGCAGGAGAAGGGGGGAGAACCCCTCCTCTCCCTTTCTTTCTTGGCATTACACCTTTAACTGTTTTATGATTTCCAAATATTAATTACTGTATCAATATTGATTGCTGTTTCAATTTTGTCAGCACGAATCATACCTATTTACCACAGCCTCGATGCCTCAAGGTTCATTTCCACCACAGCTGATTTTGTGCTGTGCAGGCACCTGGCAGAGCCCGGCAGGAACAGCCTCAGGGCAGCCCAGCCGAGCAGGGAGCACCAGTCAGCTCCCCTCCTTTGAAATGCGCTGTGATCACTTTCTCACCCTTCCCTCTTACTTTCAGTCCATCTATTGCACCTTTTTATTTCCCAGTAATCTTTATTCCTCTAAAAACTTGTTGGCAATGCTACAGCAGCGCCACAGCTGTAGCACCACGCTCCTACCCCACGCAGGCTCCCAGGTAAAGGTGGGCAGCACACACCTAAACCTTTGAGAAACACAGCGTGGCTTTTGAGGATGCTGCTGCACTGCACACACCTTGGAACTGCTTTTGTCTGTCACACATCCTGATGACAGGCTCAGTGTGCATGTTTTTGTGTATTTCTTACCTTAAAAAGCTGGAGTATGAGTAGCTGTGAGAATCTCACCCCACAAAGTTTTCTGCTATTTTAAATTTAGAAACCAGGAGATCTTGTCATTTCAGTCCCCCAGAAACACAATCAAAAGAAAAAAACAAACTGTAGATGCCTTCCTGAACGTTAATTGCATTTCCTTTCAAGGTGTCCAGAATAGAGTTTGATTTTGCTTTTGGATCCTGTTGCCCTCCTGTGGTCAAACCTCAGCAAGTCCAAGGACTGTTAAAGCTCTGCACGTCCTTCAAACAGGCTGAATTATTTTGCGTGCATTTATTTTTGTCTGATTTAGTTAATTATTTCTTTTCTCCTTGCCCTTGCTGTTTGCTTGCTGGAGCTCCCTGTTAACATGTTTGGTGATCTCATCCTTTCACACTGCTGTGGGTTTGGCTCCTCACAATGATTTACCTTTATTACTTTGAAACAAAGTCAAGACTTTCACATGGGAATCCAGGATACCAAAACACGCCCTCATTCCTCCCGAGGGTCTCGGGGTCAGCCGCCCCTTTGTTAGGCCACTTCAAAACCCACAACTGATTTATTTTTGTGTGATAAGAGGTTTTAGAAAAGCTGGGAATGTCGTGCCTCCTGCACACTCTAAATTGCAGGATCAGAGCCTGGATTATCTCCTGCGGGCCCGGAGGTGACTCACCAATAACATCATAAGACAATTTACTTCAAAACACCTACAATACTTAGCTAAGTTTTAGAGTTGTATAACACCGTGGGTTGTTGATTTGATATTTTGTCACTTCCTTTTTATTCTTCTGCCTTTCTTCCTAATCGTTGGAACTTAGTTTGTCAGTTTATACCAAGCTGGAATTTAGCTGGCAGGATAATTGGATCTCCCAGAAAAATGTCATATTAAGTAGGAATTATGGATAATGCCCCTGCAAAATTAGTTAATGGAAAAAACGTTTAATTGCTGCTTGAGTAATATCGATCAAATGCAGTTATTCTACCTATGCATTTCTGTATTAGATACCACTGGAACCTGCACAATACAGGGACTTGTGCTTGCTCAGCAGCAGAAATTCACACTTCTCCCTACTGAGTGTCCTGAGGTTTCTGTGGGCCCCCACCTTGAGTTTATCACGGTTCCTCTGGAAGGTGCCTCCATCAGCAGTTCCCCCAAACTGAGCTCTCTGTGCTACTCTCGGGTCACTAATGAAGCCGTGGGGCAGCACAAACACTAGCAGAGTCCCTGTGGATTAGCAGATGTCAGCTGGACCCCGAGCCACTGCTTTCTGCCCTCTGAGCCCGTGGTCAGGCTGCTTTCCAGAGGGGCTGGCTGTGACTGCCCACCCACCCTCCAGCGTGCTCACAGGAATGATGTCAAAAACCTCAGCACAGTCCAGGCAGTTCACATCTGCTGCTTTCCACGTTCCCCACAGCCTCTTGTCTCAGCCCAGAGGGCAGCTGTAATTGTCATCCTGTGACTGATTAAGATTCCTGGCTCTTTCTCCTCTTATGTTATTTCCAGCTGAGGAGCTCATAATTTTCTGCTATTAATCCCAGAGACCATGACCTTGCATTTCGCAGCACTGTATTTCAACCCCTTTCTACTATTCCAGTCCTCAAGGCTCGCAGCTTTTCATCTTCTCTAGAATACTGTGATCCTTCCCTGGATTTTAAATGACTCTCATCTTTGATGGCAAGTTGACTCAGAATAGGGAGCTTGAGAAATTACAGCATGAAAGGAAGTAGACTTGGCATGGGCTTGGCTTCAGGGTAGTAGTGTTCTGTGTTGAGCTACAGAAGAATTTTTAGTGAAAATTTTTTCTTCCTTGCAATCCCCAGAGCATGGGAAAATCATTTCCAAAAGGTATATAGGGAGTGAAGGGAGTGTGACCTAGAAAAACTAGTAAGATGCATATGTCAAATCCAGTTAATTTTTTTTTGCTAATGATACTGATCTATATATATAAAATGCTGAATAGAACACTTATCTTCCCTGTGTTTGGCCTTAAGCCACATTCCCCATCAAAGGCAAAGAGACCCTGTTGACACTTTCCTGGTGAGTAAATCAGTCACGAGAGCAACATATTTCCTTTCCAAGCAACATATAGAAAGCCATGTACTGGAAACTAGGACTCCTGGGTTTCCCAGAGCTCAGCATATTCTTAAAACAAAGGTATCCAGGCTCCATCCTACTTTCTCCCTTGCCTGCCTGGCAAACCCTCTGGTCTCATCATACTGCTGCTGACCACCCCATACTTTTTCCCACTTATGGATGCAGGAGCACTGCAGTGAGGGGGACAAAGGGCCCCTCACCCTGTCCCTGCACACCCACTCGTGCACTGGACCCTCCATAGCTGCCCTGCTGCAGACATTTTCTCTTTTGCTAAATGTGAATGAGGCAGTGCAGTAATTTTATGCAAATCCATGTGCAGATTTAAAAATTAATCAAATTCTGAAATTTTCATTTAAAGAGATTAGTCTTGAAAAATCCCCCATCTAATCCTCCCAGAATAGTCACTTGGAACAACCCTTCAGTGCATTGTTTCCCTCCTGGGTTTAGTGCATCTCCTGGAAAATTTTCTTGTAATGCTTTTGGGACCATGTGGAGCAGCAAGCTTGGGTTTGAGCAGGGCTCACCAGGCGAATTAAAGCTGATATATCAAATGATAGAGGAGATGTGTCAGTAAGTGGGAACGGGGGAGTTTAAGGCAGTAAAATCTCCACTTTGTTGTACTTCATAGGTAAATTC